GAAGGAACAGAAACAGCCTTGTGGGCCAGCCTGGCCCTGCCTAACGTGTGGTCTCTCAACACATTCCTCCTGGGGAAATAGACCCACTGTCTCTTAGCCAGCCTGGGAGCCCCAGGGGGCTCTGGTGACAGGGCTGGCAGCGAGGAGGAGGGCAGATGTCCCCAGTGCCCGGCAGCACTGCCCCTTCACCTTGGTATCTTACCTCCTGGCAAGTTTGAGGTAATTTGGGGTTGGTAGGAGTATCCCTTTGCCTGGGAAATGGGGTCATATCTCAGCTGTCTCTGGCACTGGCTGGGGAACAGGACTTAAGATCTGACACCCCGACATGGAGCCCTCCTTGGCTTGGAGAATGAGTGGCCTTTAGCTGGCTCCGTGGCAGCGGAGAACATGCTGGGCTCAGGCGCTGTCCTGGCTGAGGTCAAATCCTAGCTTCACGTTTCCCACCAACTACATTTTGGGTGGAGCCGTTCCTCTGCCTCCTGAGAGGTAGAGGGAGGGACACATGAGTTGGGAGTGGGGGAAGGGGTAGAAATGATTTAAATTCAGTACCCATGCATGAAATACTTAGAAAAGTTAAACAAATAAGCAAATAAACCTATATATTTTATACGCTAATTTCTGACACTGGAGTGGTGGGGGGTGTCATGATTCCCTCATGAGCTGTATCTAGAAGTCTGAGAAATACCACACAAGAGGCAGAATACAGACAGTTGTAAATTGGTTTATCTCCTGACAAGGGATGACCAGAACATTCCTTTCTAAACCATTTGCCTCTTTAGTGACAGTAAGAATCCAGCGGTAGTTCCAGGACAGGCTCCAAAGCTACAGAGAAACCCTGCCTCGAAAAACCACTACTACTACCACCACCACCACCACCACCAACAACAACAAAAAGATCCCAGCAGTGCTGGAGGCATCTGGTACCAGCTGAGCCTTAACAGTGTGACCCTGCAGGCCCGGCCAACCCTTGCCATATACCCTTACCTTGCTGGTGGCGGTGGCGGCAGAGCCAGGCAGCACAGGCGTGTTGGTGACTTGCACGTTCAGGTAATTATTGTCGATGAGCGGCCAGGCGCCTTGCACCTTGCACGTCTGGAAGTGGTCTGTGAAAGTCCTGAGGTGCGGGTCCCCAAAGAGGCCGCAGTGAGTGTAGTTGGGGGCAGCTGAGTGCTTGTGAAAACTCTTCTCGTAGTGGCAGATCTCGGGGCTATCCGAGCGCTCCTGGCTGTCCCCGGCTGGCGGGAGCGTGCGCAGGCGTGGCTGTGAGGTGGGGCCATCCTTGGAGCAGTTGTGCTGGTTCATGAGGTCCTCTATGCCATGGACAGCTGAGTGGTAAGCCAGGTCACCCCGGCAGGTGCGGGCTGTCCGCCGCGTGCACAGGGCGTAGGTGCGCAGGGCTGCACAGAACTCCGGCACGTCGTCAGACGCAGGGACGTGGCTGCCGGACGTGGCACTCCAGAACTCAGAGTTGCACTTGAGGATCTTGCAGGGGGTGATGGCTACGGAGAAGAACAGACGCGCCATCATGTTGGGACCCTCTTCTACAGACCTCTGTGGGTTAGAGATGCAGAGAGGCCTCACCTAGATGGTGCCACCTATAATCCACGCCCACTGATCAATGAACTGTACCGTAACTTGCCCTATCTAACCTTCCAGATTCTTCTGCATAGCCTGCTATGATGAGGAGGGTTCAGGCAGATGGGCCAGATGCAGAAAAGGGCCAGCATTTGCATTTAACAGGATGGCGATTTTTGACCAACCATCCTTGGACATAAAAAAAAAAGTCAATACATAAGAAAGAAAACAAGAGGCCGGGCGGTGGTGGCGCACGCCTGTAATCCCAGCACTCGGGAGGCAGAGGCAGGCGGATCTCTGGGAGTTCGAGGCCAGCCTGGTCTACAAAGGGAGTTCCAG